ATGCTGAAAAATATAATTTTAAATGACATAAAACTTATAGAAAACAAACATATATAATTGAAAGCAAATATTATTAATAAATGAGTTACTCCCAAATAGTACAACATAGAAATCGACTGTGTTATGAAATCTAAATTATTATGTATAACCCTTTAATATTTTGTTATTATTTTATTAGAAATAACAAAATAAATGACAAAAACCAGAAATATCATTAATGTCATATTATATATGATGAATAACTACAATTCATTTTATGCATATTTCAATTTTTCTGAAATAATTCTAAATGTACATTAACTACATATGCACAATGTAACATTAATTTAAATTAAATTATAAGAACATTTTCATATTTATGTTATATATAATTATTCAAAAATATTTTGTTTTTTATTTAAATATAATTTAATAAGGAACTTCAAATCATTATTTTTTAGCCATTCTTATTTTTGATTTATAAAGAAACACTCTCCTAACCATGAAGAATGTGCAACAAATAATAAATTTAATAAATAAAATATTTCTAATTGAGCTTTCTATATAATTTTTTAAAATATATGTTATAAGGTTTAACCTGTTATTTTAAAATATCTGTTTATTTTTAAGTTTACAATTTCTTTATTTACATATATCATATAAACCCAAAGTTAGGTTAAGTATAATTACATAGGGACATTAATTAATTTATAATTTCTCATATTAATTGTGTTATGAAATGTAAATATGGCTGAAAAACCAACGCATGTATGAATACATTTTAATTTATTTATATTATATCATATATGTATATTAATGTATATCCTGCAACTAATGATTTACAATAAAACACATATAATATTAGTGAATATCTAAATATTTATGTTTTCGTTTTTTCCTTTTTATCTTATCAGACTTTTAGTAAAACTGAATTACCTTCAGTTTTATTTTATGATATGCTTATTAAGGATTCTATGGGATTAGCAGAAGTAAGATTCTGTAATACTTTTTCTAATAAATACAGTAAAAATAAACAAATCAAAGATCTTTTTATAAAATATATAAATTATTTAAACAAACAAAACGATATGCGGAAAGAACAAAAATATAAAAATATTGATTGCAAAATTTTCACTTATTGGCTATATGAAAAGCTCTTAAAAACTCTTGGATATAATAAATCATTGTGCAATAGTGCATTTGATGAAATTCAAAGTTATTGGATCTCTTTATCTGAAGTTAAGCCTCAAATTAAAGAATACAAATGTCAACCCTATTCTTATATTAAAAATTACTACGATAATTGGAAAGATTCTAAAGAACTTTATGATTACTATATAGATTTTAATTATCTTGATAAACTTTCTAGTAATTGTAATGAAAACTGTGATGAATTATGCAAGTACTTGAAAGACGTAACAGTTTCATACGATAAATTTAAAATGTTTTTTTCTTCTAACAAAGGAAGTCGATGCCCGCTATCTTTGCATGAATATAAAAAATGCGATCCAAAATTATTGTTAGAAAGGTTTAAATGTTATACTCCGACTAACGAATTAGATAACGGTGAAACAAAAGAACCTGAATTAGAAGGAGAAGTGACCCCTGAAAGAGGAGAGCTTTCTGACGCTGCATCATTTACAGTAATCCCTCAGAATGAATCAGAATTAAAAAATGACGAATCTAGTCCCTTACGGACCTTTGGTAATTCTCTTTTAGGATTAGTTCTAACCTCTATGTTATTTGGTGTTTTATATAATGTAAATAAATATTATATTAATTTTTATATATTTTATTAACGTAGTAAATCATTTCTACATATATGCATACGTAATAGGTTAATAAATTGCACATATATCTTATTATTTCTAAATTTACAAGTTTACGCCATTAGGAAGAATATTTCAAAATAAGTTTCCAAATGTTGCTTATATGATAAACAATCTAAGTCATAAAGGAAAAAGGTTATCCAACCATAGATCAGATACGTATAGCCCATTTCGCGAATATTTGGAAGAAAATTATATAAGATATGACCCAGTCTAATATTATAATATACAAAATAACTTTTAAGCAGTTTCCGTTATGTTAAAATTAATTATGAAATTAAAGAGTACACAAATATTTCTTCTAATGTGGGAAAAGAATACTTATGGATTAATATGTATAATATGTATTGTTTAATTATTGAAAAAAT